AGAGAGAGAGAGAGAGGGAGAGAGAGAGTGCAACGGAAGGTAACATAGAATCAATCAGGTTATGCCCAAAGAGGTTTTATAGTACTACATTTTTGTAAATTTTTGTAACCTCTTTGATAATGCCTGATGAGTAATTACGTGAGCGATCTAAAAGGGTAGATAAGAACAAATGTGACTTGTGAAACAGTTGACTACTCGAGTTGTTTACCTTGAGTAACAGTCGTTTCATGTACCACTTGGAGGGTTTTTGAGAGATTGGTTGGTGCGATATTATTAAAATTTTAACATTCATATCAAGAGACACGAAGCCAGTGTAGCTCTTTCAGGACGGGGGTGGTTTGCGTTCTTTTCTTCTTCTAAAATATTAGCACAACGGCATTTACGATGAACTTTTGGATATCTTGAAGGCAAATGAATGTTTCATTCGAAATGCTAGCTAAAAGAGAATTGCAATGATCCAAAATTAGGAAAGAATAAGTGAAGTTTTCTCCAATGTGGCTGATTTTTTTTCATTAAAAATAGTTTTACAAGGTGAGTTCTGGCACTCTCGTAGTCTTGAGGTACGACGTTCGCCTTTAAATCAATAGGTGTCGGGTTCGTATCCTGGTAGCGACGGAAAATTTCTCCCCCCGTTTTTTCCCTTTCTCTGAGCTCCTGACACTTTCTGCTGCTTTTCTACTGCCACTCATTGGCTCCTCTTACTGCTGTTCTTCAGCCACACCCCTGGTCTTAGGATAGGCAAGATAGAACACCTAGCCATCTTCGAAAAGGCCAAAAAAATCTCGGAGGTCCCGTGACAACGTTAAAGACCCCTTGGAGGTTCTAAAATCGATAAGAGTAGGCGTCGGCCGCAATCCAGGCAAAATTCAAAATCCATTTCTACCAAATTGAAAATGCTTAATGAGTCCCGCACGCTCATATGACCTTATGCAGTACGAACGTCGTAACACACTTACCAAAAAACCTCCAAAAAAACAGTGAGCGCGTCTGATAAGAAATCGACTGATCGTTGTCAAAAAAGACGTTTAAGTTTTAAACGTTACTACAGGACTGAATCTCAAGATCATTGGCCTTGATTTTAATGTAAGGAAGACTTTTTATCATAAGATTACTGGTGTGTACAAGTATGAGCTTAATAGTGTCCATCCAGGTTTTTATCTCTTGAATACATTTAGGATTGCGTCCACCACCTCAGTGGGAGTTATCCTGAAAAATGCTTGAGGCTCGTGGAAGATGTATCAAGCGTAGTCTTTGGAGTAACATGAGCAAGGGTACAAAAGTTGTCCCCC